AATTTTTTTAATAGAAGTATGGGGTTTTGAATATCATTTTCTAAATAAGAAAAGTTGTGGTGGTACTCCAGGAAAATATCTATTTTTTGTATGATCGCAATTCCAAATTCCGTACTAATTAGCATGGAATTTCGTTTATTTTAAAAAGAATGTAGTGATGGTTATAACCATTGCAACGTGTCATCATTCTAGTTACTAAAAAACCTTGACTTTGTATTTTTATTAGAGTATCTACTATTGCTACAAAAAGAAAAGACAATGATGATAAACTAATAAGTAAACAGTTATTTCTCTTCAAATGACAAAAATTATTCTCAATAACGATTTTCTAATAAATAGGAAAATGAATTGACGATTGCGAAAATGGAAATTCTTGAACTAAAGAAAAGAATAAAAACATTGGAAAAACAGAGATCCCACACAATAAATATTGATGTGATAATATACATGATTTTCATATTATCTATTTATTCATTTGTGATATGTTTTTTTAATGTTAAATAAATAACCAACCCAATTTTATTTTCAACAATATTTTTCCTTTTGTCTCTCACTCTTTTTATAATTTTTGTTATAATGGTTTTTTTTTAACAATTTATTTAAATTTTTCTCTAACAGGATTAATTGATAAAATTGAAAACATTATTTAAGAACAACTTCATCATCACTAAACTCTAGTGATTGATTTGTGATTCAACAATAAAAGAATTTTAGCATTCTTTGTTTTCATTTTTAAATCTTCAAAATTAAAACTTACAAAAATCTGTACCAAAACCTGTATTATATATCTTTTACATTCTCATGTTTCTCAATGTTCAAAAGCATCTGAACCATCAAAAATGAAATGAATTGATTTTACAAAGTCGACGTTTTCTAAACAAGGAAAACTCTTGAACATTCTGAACAATGTCATATTGATGGTTATTTTTGTTAGTTGATTTAGAAGAATCACGCATTAAACAATCGATAAAGCTTTAGTTATGATGTTTATTATGTGTGCATTACCTTTTCGCCTTGTAGAAAACCCGTTTGGGGGTTTCAACCTTCTGAGCTGCAACTCCTAGGTTAAAGAGCCATCTTTATTCAGTTGGTCAAATAAAAATTTATCAAGAAACAGAAAAATTAATTTATATATAACATACTAAACACATTTTATTTTACAGCTTTCCTCCTAACATCAGAGCCCAAATGCAATTTCAAAGTCACCAACCCCACTCTGAATTGCAACCTCCTGTGCTTGAAATAAATTGCAGATTCTCATTGCTTTGATGGATCTGGATGTTTATGTACACCTAATATCACAACTCTTCAGAGTTGCAACTTCTCAATCACAGAGCCATCCTTACCCTATAGGTGTATCGTTGCAGGCAACTTTTTGGCTAGCATGCCAGCAAGCCTTCTCTGGTCTGGGTGCTGTGAGGGAAGATCAGTGAAAGCATCCTTGACAATGATGCATTTCTAGAAATCAAAGCAATATTGATGCTAATAAAAAACAAATAACCACTCCTGCTGACTGATAGAGGTAATAGTGGTTTTCATAGAATCTTGTTAATACATTTGAACATTATTTATAAAGAACTCCTGGTGACTAGGTTTTTTTTTGAAACAAGAATCAATTACTGGACATCTTGTTTTTAAATCCAACATACCCATTTGGATCTTATAATATTATTTCGCTCTTTGATAGAGAATTTCCTTACACTAAAGAATTATTAACAAATCAGATGAAATATTACTGTAAAGTCTAGAAAGATAGCACCCGGCGACATTGCCTTTTTTAATGTTCGTCACGCATAATTTGTTATATCAATCGCCACAATTTCATATAAAATTGTTATTTGTCACGGAGAGCTATCTTTCTATGAAAAATTACTATCCTTTATATGTGGAAAATCATTTCAAAATAATGTCATGAAAATGATTTTGAACTGGTTTGGTGCCAAGACATTATGAGAGCTTGTAAGTTTTATGATAATAATGATAGGTTTTCATTATTCTATTCCATAATTGACATTTCTTTATCAGCATTCAACAGTTTATCTGGAAAAGAGGCTCTTTGTTTGATTCTAGTGCTGCAGAATTTTGTTATTGAGATGAAATCAGAGATCAATTAATTGCAAAGGCATTCTATGACATTGAGCATTTTGCATGGATAGAAACATATAATATACATCATCCTAAATTAAAATTTTTAATTTAGGATATCTTGAAAATAAAATAAAGAAACTACAACAGAATGAAGATAAAAGAATAATGAATGATGGAAATCCACAATGCTACAATCTTTTGGTATTTTGTTGCATGATAAGTACAGCATGTTTTTGTGTTTATTTTTTCATCATCAAAGAGTTATAAGTTGATTTAATTATTATTTTGAACAACAAAAAAAGACTTTTTTTTATTCATGAATGATGGATTAATATTACCATTATCTGATGAATGTATCTTCAGAACATCAAAAATTGTGGAAAATATATTAAAATTTAAGGTAAAGGATTCTTTTGTAGCTTTCTTGATTATAAAGCATTATTGCACATAGCTAATTTACAATAAATATTAAACAGATAAAGATCATAAATTATTGGAAAGAGCTTAAGAATCATTCATGCAAAATGATACCGCAAAACCTCTATCTTCACCAAAATAAAGCAATATTATCATTATTATTTTCTATTGACCATTTTGATTTGTGTCATTATGGTACTTTTTAAATTTAATTGATTCTTCAATATTTTGTTTGCCAATTCAGCAATTAATGAGGAAAATTTTAATAAAGCAACCTTTCAATCTATCATTTTGAAACTCTGTAATTGTGTATGGCACAATGTTCACTTTGTCTGGTTTTGTTGCAGCATGCCCCATATACTTTTAAAGAATATTAAAAAAAAATCAAGAGTCACTCATGACATTGGGCTTACACCTGAGACACCTTATACTTATTACTAGTATAAGTTCAATGTAAGAGGTTGTGATATTTATTTTTTTTTTTTAATGTAATAAAACATGTGATAAATTCCTTTTTTTATTTGTACTTTAATGTCGATCAATTGTAGTTTCTAAATTTGTACCACTGACCACTGCCTTTATCAGAAAATTACCTCAAACCAAATTTAACAATTAGTTAAACAGGGTTCACTCATATTATCATTACCATTATTGGGAAATTCTGATTTTTCCTCAACAACAAGGTACCGTTCACCAAGTTCACCCTCTTCAAATGTCACTATAGAACAATAACCATCAAAGGATGTAACAACAAGTGTATTTCCATCATCTGACCTATTATTATTAGAAAACATCATTAATCTTAATTTCAATAATGATAATATATATATATATATATATTTTTACCAGGCTAAATCAGTTAATGTACGATAATGAAGTTTAGATGCCATCACTAATGGGCTATATTGTTGTGTATCATATATGAATAAAGTGTCTTCAGTTGCTACTGCATATATCATTCTATATGGTATGGCAAATAGTGGCGATGATGTTGATGTTGATGGTTGTTGTTGAGAATTTGATGAAAAATTCATATTATTATTAATTTTAGAAGGAAGAGGAGAAATGGATGATGATAATGGTGATAATGATGGTGAATGTAGGTGAGTAGGAAAATTACGTAATTTATATAAAATTGGACTGCACTTTATAACAACTGATGGTTTCTTATGATTAGATAATAAAGCAAGTGGTTGTCTATTAAAATAAATAAAAAATTTTAAATATTAATTAAAAGTAAATTTGAAATACATCAATTAATCAATCACCAACACCTACTTATCCAACATGTATCTTGAATATATATACACTGTGTTATGAACTTTTTTATGTTTACCAATAATATTATTGCTATTACTAACATTGCTATTAATACTACCATTGCTATTAATAATACTACTATTATCAACACTGCCATTGCCACTTAATAATAATAATTTTTCTTCTTCTTCTTCACTATCATCATTATTAAATAAATCAGTCTGATATTGACCAGAAGGGGTTATTAAAAGTGCTCCATCTGGTGTAAATGTTAAACGTCTAAAAAAACATTTAAAACAGTTATCACAATATATTCGAAATGATCTTTTTAATTTTTTCTGAACAACAGATTGTTGTTGTTTTGGACTACTACTATTACTATTACGAACAGGTGTGGTAAAGGGATCTGTTACCACTGTTGCTTTATTGAACGAAGAAGAATGAGGGGGAGAAGAAGAAGAATTGATTGGATCATGATCCAATTCCATTATTGAGTTATCTAATATTAAGTGGTTATTATTATTATTATTATTATTATTATTATTATTATTATTATTATTATTATTTGAATTATTGTTGTTGTTGTTATTGGTAATGGGGATAGTGTTTTGAACTTCTTCATTTGAAACTTTAATTTTTGGTTCTTTAGCATCATCATCATTCATTTGAACATTGTATAATGGTTTTGGAATCAAATCATGAAAACTATCACCATTAATAACATTAACACTATCATTATCATTATTATCAATGATGTTATTAACGTTATTGATGTTATTGATGTTATCAATATTATCAATATTATTAGTGTTATTGGTATCACAATTGATACTATTATTAATATTGTTGTTGTTGTTATTGTCATTGTTATTAATATTAGCATTATTCATATTAGTATTACTACCACCATCACTACCATTACCACTATTATTGTTATTATTGATAATAGTATTATCATATTTTCGTTTTGTTGGAGACTTATTATCATCTTTTCTATAACTTTTTCTTGTAAATTCCATCTTGTAATTTTTACTTAAATGTTTGACTGTAAACATGCCATTAGCTTGAATCTCATAAGAATATATGTTTACAGATCTGTATAATATAAAGATAAATAAAATATATTAAAAAAGGAAAAAAACAAAAAGGAGGATTCTAAAACTTTGCAATTAACTAATTAATATTACCTATCATTTCCTTGTGTGGCAATAAACTCTCCAAGTGGATCCCATGCTACTCCTTGAACATTAAGCTGATGTTCAATAAAAATATAAACACACTTTGCTTCTTTTACATTCCATACCCTGGCAGTATTATCCATAGAACCTGAAACAATATAATCACCATTTGGTGACCATGAAAGATCATATATTTCAGCAAGTGAGCCTCTATATTTAAATAAATAAATAAAATAAAATAATTATAATCATAAAAAAATTTTTTTTAATGATTTATATTATAGGTAAATGAGACTACCTGAGTATAGCTATTGGTTTATGAAAGTTTTGTTCGTGATCAGAATCACTATCATCAGATTCTAAATTTAATAATTTTTTATTATTGATTTCCTTCAGTCCATCAAGTTTCCAAAGTATAATAAATCCATCTATACAGGTATTTAAACTATTATGTAAATATATTCATATACAGTACATATTATGGTAATATAAAATTACTTACCATCACCAGCTGTTGCTAAAATATCACCTATAATATTTTTAATAGAATTAATTGATAAATAAAACGCGTTATTGGGTAGATCGTATTTAAAAAACTTACCTTTTGGTGAAAAACGAACTACATTAACTGTACCAGTATGTCTTTTTAAAGTTGACATGTAAATAACTTTAGGTAAATCATTCTCTTTCTTAATAAGTTGCCATATCTTTTTACATACACACGTACATAAATATAATTAAAAAATTTATTATTTGCTTTTATATAATTTATTTTCTTCTTACTTTTACTAACCCTAACATTATAATCACCACCGCCTGTTACAAGTCTACCAGTATTGCCTGGTTGAAAATGTGCAGAGTAAATTGCTTGTTGTTCATGCCAATTTATTTGATAAGGCTTAACTTTCATTTTTTTATTTTGATTTTAGCAAAAAAAAAAATATGTTCAATGACTCTCTTTTACGCGTAGTTTCCTGGGGTTGATCAAAATGGGTTAAAAAAATTTGTGACACCTACAAATAGTAAATAAATTGATAATCTTGATTGAACCTTTACAAAATTTTCTTTTTACTAATATAAATGAAAAAAAACTCTCTGACAGGCTATTAATCGAGTGTTTAGAAATACAATTGCAGAAAGATTATTCACATAGCTTGCTTGGTTATTGGGCATTTACATTTTAAAGTTATCTAATTTCCATTGCTTGTAATAAAATCAATAAAGTTGATAAAATTGAAATTTTTTTACTATATAAATGGAAAAAACTTTCTGATGAGCTATTAGTTGGGTGTTTGGAAACACAATCGCGAAAAGATTATTCCTCGGTTATCGATCCTTTGTATTTTTAAAGTTTATCTTATTTTACTCTATATATGTGTAATATTAAAAAATCCTGACCAGCCTCGATAGTAATAGAAACGGACCATGATGTTTTAAAAAAAAGATCTGTATTTCAAGTTGTTTTTTAAAGTAAAGTGGGTATAGTTTCTAAGCCAAAAATTTTCTACATGAGAAGTTACATATAGCAATGATCTTAACTCAAAATCATTTTTTCACAGCATGGTTCGTTTCTATTAATTCCAACTTTGGTGCAACCACATAGTAAAAAAACTCATCAATAAGAATAAATAATTGACAAAAGGATAAGCGTCAAGAAGATATTTTCCTCATTTATAGATCTATCTACTATGACATTATCATCTACATAGTCAAGAGCCATATCATTTATTAATGCTCTATCTAATCAAGATGATAATATTAAACACGAGAATCAAACAAGAAATTCTTACGCAAGAGCCAAATGAAAATTTAATCAATAATAACACTGACAATACTCATGGGTGTGGAAGTAGATGACAATAATAATAATAACACTGTTGTCATTGTTTTTCACCATCATCACCAACACCACCACAACATTACGCCAACCCTAATCAAATTGGCTAATTTTCGTTTTCATTAATAAAAATAATTTTGTTTTTTGCTTTTTTTCAAAGAAATAATAAATTTTTTAATTGTACAAAAAAAATAACATTTTACAAGTATCATCTATTTGTATAATATATAATATTTTTCTAGTAAACCTATCTATTTATCTGTCTATCAATCTATCTATATCAATATATAAATAATATTTTCACAAAAATATTTATTGTTATTATTTATTAATTATTAATAATAATTTAATCTTCTATTACAACACTTGCAAGATCATCTTTCCAATGTTCTTCCATAGCAGTTAACAAAACACCAGCATTCACCACCACTTCTTCAACAAAAGCCAACACCATATAACTTTGAAAATCACCAAATTCCCTTAATTTATTACTAACAACTATTTGAGCATAGTTATCGATAGGTTTTTTCCAATATGTATTAATACCTAAATTTAATTCATTCTTATTATTATTATGCTTACTATCATCATCATCATCGTTGCTATCTATATTGCTATTGCTAATAATAATATCATCATCTTCACTACTAATACTAATACTACCATTGTTATTATTATTAATGATAATCTCATTGCTAACAGTATTAACACCTTTAAGTATCTCTATTAGATTTAATTTACCACTTTCCAAAACAGTTAAGCCCAACTCCAAGTTCATAACCTTGGAAGAAAAATCATTATTATCATGATTACTATTACCATCAATATTATCACCATCATCACCATCATCATCATGACTCTCATTATTTATTATTAAAAAAGTCAATCTACCTTTAGAAACAAAAATAGCGTTATGTTCTGAACCTGAACCACTATTGCTACTGCTATTACTATTACTATTATTGTTGTTATCGTTGAGAGATATGATATGTACAGAAACATTTTTAATAATTTGTGAAGCATCAAAAATTGGTAACCAAGTAGAACATAAATTTATAAAAGTATTTTGACAAATTGTCTCATATCTTTCCGTGCCTTCTTCCAATCTTCTCCCTATTATTTTCGGTCCTGGAAATCTTGCTTTCTTTTTTTTTATTGATAAATTGTTATCGTCGCTGTCATTTCTATTATTGTTATTATCATTATTATCATCGCCATTATTATCATTATTAAGATATGTGAGATCTTCATTGATTTTAAACCTTATGTTAAAAGATTTTTCATCGACGCCTAAAATCACTAAATCAAATACATGAGTTGGTCCTGAACTATATAAATCTATTGGTTCAATTGTAGCCTATATATATATACATATATATATATATATATAAGATTTATTATTGAGTTAAATAAAAAGTCACTATATATAATGTGAACCCCATTTTTAATTACTGCTATTTGTTTGTTACTCACCAATAAATAGCTTTTTTCATACTCGAAATTTCTTTGAATTCTATTTATAATTATTTTTCTTATTTCATGTTCTAAACCTTTTGATAAAATCAAATATCTTATAAGGTCCCTAGCAGGAACATAATACAAAATTTCAAGCAAGACTTCAGTTGGTAAATGTGGCTGTATGTTGTCATTGTTGTTGTCATTGTTGTCGTCAATGTTGATATCTATTGTGTTTGTTGTGGTGGTGGTGGTGGTGATGGTAACAGTAACAACACTGTTATCATCACTATTGTTACTCATTTTAAGTTAAAGAGTAAATATAACTTTAAAAAAATAAATATATATTAATATGTGTATATATTAATATGTGTATGTATGTATGTATGTATGTATTATGATCGATTGATTTCATTGGTTAAAAAATACATTGGCACATTTAATATTGGAAGTTACATGAACATCACCTAAAATAAATTTTTATTAATATTGATTATGTAATCTTTGAAATAATGAGGTTGTTATTATTTATTATAGATTTCATCCGAAGTCAAAATCTCGAACTTTTTTAAAAAATACATGAATTGATTTTTCTTGTAACATTATCAGATAATAAAGTAAATTATTTATTTATCATCAACTATCACATATTTTGACTAGTTAAACTTTATAAATCGTGGAGAAAATAGGTATTAAAGGAATAAAATAATTATTTTGTGCATCATATAACATATAAATATAAACACACACATCTGATTAAAAAAAAACGAGAATTTTAAAAAAATTTACTATTGTTCTTTAAATATAAAAACATTATTAGTTATTATTAAATTAATTGATTAATTGATTGGAATTTTTATTTTAAGTTTATTTAACGTCAAGTCTATTACTTCTTTTCTTCTTTGCCTTCGAACCTTCTACGTTTTTACAAAAGGAAGTGAGGATGGATGGATAAATGGATGGATGAAGGGTAATTTTTCAACTATGAAATTTAAAAAAATTTTTTCTTTTTTTTTTCTAAAATAAGATTCAGGTTTGTTTGTAGTCAATTAATTGATATTTAATTAAGTATTATAAGTATTAATTAGTATTCAAAAAATGTTTATTATATAAGAATCTTATTGATGATGAATGATGATGTCTTCCCCCAGTGTTACATTATTATTATTGAAAATCCCTCATGCATTTAACAAATATTAAAAAAAAAATTTTTTTTTTTAAAAATTAACAATTAACAATTGTTTTTTTTTCAAAAAAAAAAACCGCTAATTCGAACTAATTGATTCCATGTAATTTTTTTTTGTTTTATTAAAAAAAAATAAAATTTAAAAACTTAAATTAAATGAAAGTGGCGAAGGTGGTAATGTATTATGGAGGTGAAGAAGAAGGAGAAGAGCGAAAAGAGTAAAGGGCAAATGGGAGAGAATGAAAAAAGACGTTTAACCCAAAAAATAAAAACAAGATATAAATCCAGTTAACCCCTAAAAAATGTATGTTGTATTACATAAATATTATTCTAATTTTGCCCAAATGGCCCCAAATGGTAATACAGATCAATATAATACAGTAATACACCACATGGGCATAATAGCATAAGAAATTTAAAGCCTCATAATTACATATAAGCCAATAATAATAATTAACTATATATAAATTCTTGTATATACAACTTGTATAAAAATAAAAATTTTAAGCTCAATTTTTGATCTAAACAAATTTTTTTACTAATCAAAAATATATTAAATTATAAATTTGAATGAGTAATCAATAATTATTATGCAAAAGTATTAATAAACTAATCCATAAACCTTTTAATAAAAAGCAACAGAATCATAAGTTAAAATTTTTTATCTGATACGTTGTGGATTTGATTCTTTTATTTTAGGAATCTTTTTTATTACAAAAAAAAAATCGAAAAGTCGTGTAACTAAATTGTCAAATATATATATAATTAAATAATTATTTTTTTCAGGAATTTATTTTTTTTTGATTTTATTTTTTAAAAAAAAAAAATATATATAAAAATCATAACAAATAAATCATATCATAACAAAATTTATCATAACATCATCAAAATTTTAAAAAATCAAAACAAAAACAAAAATAGTTTACTTGTAAAAACAAAATTTTAAAAACAAAAACAATTATTGTTATTGTTATTTATTTTTCTCCTCTCTTCTTTCTCTTCTTTTGTAATATAATCAATCATTTTTTATTTATTTATAAATAATGTCGTATTGTTATTATTCAGACACTTCTTCTTCCTTTCCTTCTTCTACCAAAACCTCAAATACTAAAAATATAAATATTAAAAATATTAAAAATAATATATCAAATAATATAAATAATAATAATATTACGAATACTGCATCCGCCACCACCAACAACTGCAACACCTTCGCCGCTGCCATTACATTTAATAACATGACACATCAAGCTTGGACTATCGCTGATTTACCGCATCGACGATGGAGGTTAAAATATTTACCTGATGAATTCCGAGCAGAAGACGTTAGAGACGAAAATCATCCTTATTTCACATTATTAAAAATTTTTGATCAATTAAGGGACTTAGCTTACACAACAGAAGATGTACCAATGCTATCAATAATAGAGCATAAATTAAAAATCGTTGGAAAAATTATTGACAATTTGATTGATTTGCCGGGTCCTTATATAAAAGGCGTAATCGATTTCACAGCATTATCGGCCTACGTTCATACAATCAACGATTTATGGTCCAAAAAAAATCAATTAATGTTGACACCTGTGTGGAGAAGTCATATAACTTCCGAGAAATTTTCCGAATATTTAAATACCGAGGTTTACGAATCATTTTTATTACCAACACTTTATCATATAAGTTTAATATTAGATTGGTGGTTGGGCGATCCTCAATTCGAATTTTGGATTGGAATAATTGATTTAAATTTTGATCAATTCGAAACACAATTAGAAGCTTATGTTCATTTTTGTAAGAATCAATTATAATAATACTCTAGATATATATATATTGCAATAATAATTACTAATATATTTATTTATTATTCTTGCTGTTATTCCTATTATTATAGATAACGCAGTATTCTTTCCAGAATTTAAAGAAGGAAGAAAAAAAGAAAATAATAAAGATGACAACAAGAAGGAGTGCATTCATGACACTGACAGTAGTGCAACAACACCAAGTTCAATGAAATCAGATGAAACAACAGACGAAGAATTAAACGATAACGACACCATATTTAAACCATTAGTTCACACAGATTCAAGTGATTTCGAATGGAGCGATTCAGATTTTTAAAAAAATTAAAAAATAAAAATATTATTTATTTAGTTATTTATAAATAAATACATACACATACATCATCATCATCATCATCATCATCATCATAATCATAATACATATTCATTCACCACATATCAATATATACACATTCAACAATTTTTCAAAAAAAAAAAATCTTTAATTAGAAAAAATAAAAATCTTTTTAATTTAAATTTTTTTCAATTCCAAAAATTTTTTCAATTAAAAAAAGTTGGAGTATGGGCGTGTTTAATTTTTGTTGGTGGTGGTGTTGCTTAAAAAAAAAAACAAAAAGGTTAAAAAAGGGTTGCATTTTTATTTTTATAATGTCATTCAATCCTGCATAACACATATATATTATATTCATTAACTTATTGATTGACATATGACAAAAAAAAATTTTTTTCTAGTTTTAGTTTTATTTTGTTTTATTTTTATTTGTTGTGATACATCAATCAAAAAAAAGCATACAAATTATCTGGGGAAATTATAGTTTAGTCACGTGAATCGTATACATTTTTTTAAAAAAAAACATTAATTACATTAATGTTTATATTTTTCCCGATATTATTTTTATCAGTTAGATTATCACAAAACTTGTTCATAATCAAAAAAAAAAAAAAGCATTATACTCATTCAAAAACATTGCACATACACAAAAAAATTTTTATACATAATTAAAATAAAAAAAAATCATTTTTCTTCATAAAAGCTTTTTTTCGTGTGAATCTCTGTATATTTGAGGATACTTATAATTTGATTCGTCGTCAATCCCGCCTTTTATTATTAAACATGAAAATTTTTTTTATGCATTAAATTCAAATATATATATATATATATATATATACACACACATTAATAAAATGAAAAATTACGATAATCAAAATTTCTTAAAATGTTAATTTTGACCAAAATTTTTTGACATCTTGTAAGTTTTCTAAGAATCTTGATTGTTTTAATTGGTACAATAAAAAAAATTTTTTATTACCAAAAAAATAATAACGAAATTAAAAGCTTGATAAAATTTTTTGATCGAGTTTTTTGTAAAATTGTCTTACCAAGAAAAAAAAATAATAATATATTTATATGTATAAACTAGTTTAGAACTAGTTTAGTTATTGATTTTTTTTTTTTTTTTTGAAAGATTTAAAATGTATAAAATACGATTACACGACATCTAAAACAAAATTTTATAATTTCATTTTAAAGTATTTATTTGTTACAACAATAAATATTTTTATAACCTTATGTTAAGAGATCAATCAATCAATCAATCATATCAATTCAACGATTTTTAACTTTTCTTTCCTCTCGTTTCCTTGTCTTCCTCCTTGTCCTCCTCTTCATTGTTCAATTAATTGAAAAAAAAAACGTTGAAACAAGAATCTTAAAAAAAAAATTATTTTTCTAAGCTTATTAGATAAAAAGAATTGATTTTTTTTCTTTTTGATTATGATGTTGTTGATTCATTATTTCATTGAAATAACCGGCTTGAATCCTTGAATTATATAGTAACCTTTTAGAAATTGTTTTGTTCTCATTCTTAATATAATAGGTTATTGTGTATTACCAAATAAAAATTAAAGTTCCTTACTACCTTATAATCCTTTATCACCCGCATTATTACTTTATTATTATATGACAATTTTGTGATGTCGTGTGAAAGATTTGTGCTGTGCAGCTTGCAGTTGCTTCTCCAATTTGTATATATAATAACATTGTTTAATTTATAATAATAATGATAATAAACATACCCGCGTTATGGATAATAAGGGGTAAAAAATACGTAATTGCGTTAGTACAGGGCTGCACATTGTTATAGAATATAGTCCAGTAATTTTTGAGTATGCTGTATTCATTCATTACTTACATTTTAGGACTATAAAAAATACTTTCCAAAGTTAAAGTGTGTCTTCTAAACAATGAAAATAAAATAACTATTTTTATTTTTGGATAAAACACTTTTCTTGTCCAACATACAATTTTTTACTTTCTATTGGTATATATATATTAAGGTTTCCGATCCAAACTATTTTCGAAAGTAGCCTTGACAATAGTTTGGGCTTCTCGATATGAAAAAACCATTATTTTTTAATTAATATTAGTTTGGACCCATAGAAAATAAATTTTTGCTCAGTGTTTCGGCAACTTCGGCTACTATTACTAAGAGAGGTAGTTTCGACCGGAAACCTTAGTATATTAATAATAATAATAATATTATTATTATGTCCTGCGGTAATTAAAATCACACGTACACACATAGCTAACTAACTACAACTAAACTAACGCTTATTATTATTATCTCTGCAAGTTTGTTTCTTGCGTCAAACCAGATAAATGTGCAAAGGGAAATTTTATGAAAATAAAAAACTAAAGATATCTTAATTTTTTCATGTATCATGATTAAAAATATTTCAATCAATAATGTCAAACAAGGTGTTTTAAAAGAGTTACAACAAAATCTTCTATTGTTTTATCAATAATAGACTGAACCCATAAATAGTTAATCAACTATTTTGGATGAATTTTATGCTTTTGAATTATTTATTATAATCATAAGCGCGTGAAATATGTCCAAATCAAATTATAATCAGTCAGATAAATAATAATAAAAAAAGGCCAAAATTTTCATCAGCTTTTATTTCTTTTCAAAATTTTTTATATCATTAAATAAATCTAATAATGTAGCAGATGACCATGCTTGTGAAGGACAGGAATCATAACATGGTACTCCATTAGCGTTAGTTAATTCCGGAAGACCGGCCCAAGGACTTTTCTCAATCATTTCACGATGTGGTAGAAGATGATTAATTATATTGTGAATTGATTCATGCAGCTGTTTTTTTAAAAAAATAATATATGCATGTTTTAATTTGATATATATACATATATAATTTAATACTAATATTTAAATAAACCTACATTATTTTTCCCTATTCCGACACGTGTATCAAAATATAGATAAGCTCTAAGAAAATAGCCAGTACACCATAACCATTCCTTGAATTTATCATATCAATTAACCAAAACAGAGGAAAGGAACGAAAGTTGATTGATGGGTGATTTGAATAAATAAAAGAAGAATTAATAATGTTTATTTTTTATATATATACGATATGTATATATATATAATATTACTTACAGGGCCTTGATGATAATTCCATCCTTTTGCAATGGATTTATCATCTCCATCATTGTTATTATCATAATTTCCACGATATGCCCAATCTTTTGGATCCAAAGTACGCATACCTAACGGTCCTGCGAGTATTTCACGCGTAATAATCAATGCTTGCATTGCATGTTCTTCTTCAAATAACTCAGGTGCCTTCAATTTATTTTATTTTTGTTATTTACGCAATTATTTTGTGTATACGCATATAATATAACAATAAAATAGAATTTAAAAATAAAAAACTTACAACGACCATTGCAATCGGAAAATTGGGTCTTAATTGATAATCTTCATATTCCTTTGTAGATCTATATATGTCTTTATAGATGCCTCGGCGATTTACTAATTTAGTATTTAATGCATATTTCGAGTCATCGTTAAGATCTAAATAAATTGATAAGTTTAATATATAAAGCATCATTTATAATTATTTTTTATATTTAAAAAAGATCTTGTTAATTTTTTTTTACCTAAAGGAACATAAAAATATTTCTCAAAAGAATTCTGTATCAAATCATTCCACTCGAGAAACGTTATCAATTTTGTAGCACCATTAACTAACAACAACATATATATATATATATATATATATATATATATATATATATAAATAAAATCAATAAATTGGCAAACTGCTCAATTGATTAATTGATTGATTACTGATAGATTGAATCTTATAAACACCTTTTACTTCAACTCCTTTCCAAGGATAAACACCCTTTTCAATTAATCCAATAATCCATCTCAATGTAGATTTGAGTAATCCAATAATTTCTACAGCAGCACCATCTCTAGGTGTGGCTGGTATCCCTTTGTTTCCTGCCTTTTCGGAATCTCCCATTTTATCCATCCACGTTCCACAATTCCATTGATTACCGCCAAACAAAAATCCTGTGCTCCAATCAACTTCAATATCAATATCAAATCCTTTAGAAGTCATAGCATGATCGAGATTAGGTCCTGCATTCCATTCACGGAAATGTATACCACGTGCGTGACGTTCCAAGATTTCATGTATAATTTCTAATATTGTACTACTATACGAATAAGCTAATGGATTAAAATATTCAACAAATTCGTCCGTTTTTGGAAACCTTCTAGCTACAGGCGTACTAAGAAACTTTAATCCCTCCGGTGCAAAGTTACAATAATCTTGCACTGCTTGAAGATACCACCAAGAAGCATCACGACAATTATATCTTGGACGTCTTCCGGAATCCAGCAAGTTGGGTATCAATCCGTGCTTAAGCACACTTCCAAATCCGATAATATGTCTTCTGGCTGCTTCAAAGTTACCAGTAGTAATAAATAAACCACGCAACGATATAAATACATCACGTCCCCAACATCTCATGTGTTGAAAAGTAAAATGTGGTAATCCAGCTGCTACTGATGGTCCAATTTCTGTTGGGTGTAGACCAGTTGATAGCACAGTTCCATACATTTGAACTGATACTAAGGCAAGGCTACGAATAAATGGCCCACCTTCAAATACAAAAGGCGATAATTGCTTTAATGATTCTTTAACAGCCGCTGTATATGCCGTTTTAACAAGCAATGCAAAATATTTTGGCACCAAGAAATTTGGTACTTTTTTAATTGCGTCAAGTCTTTCTTTATACCAATCACACAAATTTTTAAGGTTTGATGCAATTTTCAAATGTCTAAAACATAAATAAATAAAAATTTGGATAAATAACTATATGTTTCACATTAAATCTCACAATAACAATAATAATGATCTTAACCTTTCAAGTCTGCTAATAACATATTCCAATGCCCAATGCCCCTCACGTAAATTTGAACAAAATGGATGTCCTAGATCATTTTTTTTAATTATTTCTCGTAAAACAGACATAAAACCCTCTAAACCACAATAAGTGAGATCGCCATATCCAGGTATGTTGTAGACACCATTACCTGGTGTAACATCATTCTCTTCACTATTACATCTATACAGCACAATATTTAAATCCACCAAACTCAAGTCTTTTAAAACTTCTTCGACATTTGATATTATGAATTCATCTAATTCATCATGCTGATCACTAATCGAAGTTTCTAATAATGCAACACTGCCTGATGGGAATTCTTTTGGTAAAGTGATCTCCGTATAGTTTCCATCATGGTCAGTGAGTTCGCGTGTATTCGGTGTGTTAAGAGATTTGAGTGAAGCATCTAAACCCGTGAGATACATTTTATCTGGAGTAAGTTTTCTACTTGTAACTTCTAGGTAGGTGGAAAATAATGCTTTTGCTTTGGTTCCTCGTAATTTTATTGGCGATACTGTATTGAAATAATAACAATATTAATTTTTAATATTACTGACCTTAGTTGGGTGAATGGAAAGAGGAATGGGTGTCTTATATAATATTTCAAAGTAACACGTGTTAAAGTATAGAATCATATGAAAAATCACCTGATTTACAATGTGTAACGTTGAGAATACTATTTATGAATAAGATTAAATTTACTTACAATCACCACGTAATACTACTAGACCAGAAAAGGCACAGCGAGCAATCAACAAATAGCCTTTATAAGTATGAGGATGTAACCTATGTACGATAATATACTGAATAGGAAAGTAGGCAAACAAACGATTAGGTCATCGAATAAAATTAAAATAAAAAAAAATTTATATACTTGCATCATTCTCATGGTGTACATGTGTTTCAATATAGCCGTCAAATGTCATTTCAATATGTAAATGTTGGAGAACTTTTTTCACTATATATATTTATAAAATGATTAATTTTAACACGTCTAATCACTCCAATCGATTAAACCAGCATAGACTTATAACATACCACGCCCAATACCAATTTCCAAAGGGTTGTCGTATATGTTATAATGACGCGTTTCATTGACTAAATCAACACCTCCTGGATATATCTCATCAAATCCTTTCACGCTTCCTATAGCACATGAACTCATCGCAACAAGTGCTCCAGTAGATAAAGAATCTTCTGCAGTTCTTTTTTGATTCGGCATTTCGTTATCGTGTGTACAGTCCATGAAAAGAGCGTGAGTTTTTGAACCAACAATTGGCACCACGACACATGGGGCATCTTTGGTTCCATCAGGAGCAACGCATGTAGATCTATAATTAAGGCATCCCATATCCATGGACCCTTAAAAATAAAGATATATAAATAAAATGATCAAGCATGCTAGATTTATATTTATGGTATTTTTGAAAAATCAGTAATTATTACCAACAGGTTTTCCACCATGCCTATGAACCAATCTACTGAGTTCTCGCGGGTCCCAAGCTTGCATAGCTTCTCTAATCAATGAATTTATACCCAATTTACTGACAAATTCAATATCCATTTCTTCAGAACCGGTGAATAATTCAGCAACAACATATAAATTTGGACGAATGCTACGAGCTGCATCAAGAAGATATTGGCCAACGTGTATTGGAGTAGAGTGACAATTATCTATACGGAACCCATGAAAAAGTGAGGCAAGTTGTGTCGTATATTCTTTCATATGATCCCATAACCATGGTGAATCATCCTAAATATAAATAATCAAAAATGTATATTTTTGTGTTAATAACATTAAAATGAATTTATTTGTTGTTGTTTTTTTGATTTATTGTTTTTTTTTTTTGAGTGCTATGTAATTAAAACCTACTCTGGATTTACCATAGCGTAATTTCACACAATCACCCCAGACAATCACTTCTCTTCTTAGATAAGAAAATGAATCACTGCTTGCAAAATCTTGTAAGGGATTTGCATTCCAAATCCATCCATTATTCGCAACAGCCAAAGCTCCTTTGGGATAGTTCTTGGTTGTTTCATTGAGTGGAATATGTGTAAAATATGGTTCAGCTAAAGGGAGTCTATTTTTTTTAATGTTTTTACAGATGAAAATAAAAAATTATTGAAACTTTGTATTTGTGATTTCTTTTAGAAAATTCTGATTAAAAAATCAATGTATACTACTAATTACTACCTTTGAGTGATTTTTCCTTGTTTTGGACCATTTGGATCAAGTCGCAGATATTTAGCTCTATTCCATAAATTATCAAGAATTATAGCAACATCTTCATCGTATGATTTATAAAATGGCAAATTGATTTCATTGACTATTTCTTGAAATTTTTTTAACATAGTCTCTGTGGAATTTGTTTCAGCTTTGTCTGCAACATTTTCTTTTATTGCATTTTTTTCAGGTTCACCATCGTCAACTAGATTTGTTTTTTTATTTATAGAGTCTACTAATTCATCAACAATCACATCATCAACGTTGTTATTTTTTGAATCATTGTCAATATTAATATTGTCGTCATTATTGTTATCGTTGTTTTCAGTTTTTATTTCAATTTTTTTAGTTAATTCAAAAAGTCTTTTTACAAATGAAATTGCAATCTTGATATCAATTTTCTTATAAAATCTTGTTCCGAAAGATCCTTTAAAATAAAGAACTTTACTAGCCAAAAGTTTGGCCTGTTCCTTTAAACTAAGGGCAGAAATATCACCATCATTAAAAAGTGTTTTGTCATATTCTATATCATCTTTCAGAGCTGTCTCAAATTCTATCAAGGCTTCCTTAACATCAATAACATAATATTCCCATAATTTAATCTTGTTAATAACATGTAGTTTCACTCCCTCGATAAGTGCGTCTAAATCCTGTTCGTTATTAATCATGTCAGAATATCCTAATTCAGTAAGATTATTAGTAAATTCCATCAACCCAACATCAAGTTCAAATGCAGGTACAAGATGCGGAGAATTTATTAAATTGTAACCTTTTTATTTTTTAAAAAATAAATAAAAAGTAAACACACTCATTAATGCATTCTTGTAAAATAATCTTATATAAATTTTTATTTTTTTTGCAATTAAGTAATGAATGAAATAAATACCAGCTTCTGGATGTTCTTCGAGCCATTTAGAGTTGCAAGCGGTGTGATTCCAGACAATGTCAGTTAAACTTAAAATTCCATAAATGTCTTCAATTTTTCTCAATACATTATGAACTATATTTATTTTTTCAATTGGACTTTTATCAAAATCTTCTGGGTCAAATAAATCTTCGGAAAATGATAATTGATCATATATAGAATAAGGAGAATTTGATCTACCACGAATTTGCATTGGAACAAAATGTATCATATTATAACCTAATTCGGATATAGCTTTGATATGAGGATCCCATTCAGAAAATCTACCCATAAGTTTTGGTAAAACAGATTCAATCACTAAACCATCCAAAGCAAGTGGAACTTTAGTAGTTGTAATCATATCAGCATCATCATCATCATCATCATCACCATCATCATCATTATCATCATAAGTGTAATCATCAGTATGGTTTTTAATTACTATTCTATTTCTTGGTACTATATATATTAATGGTTCAACGGCGAAATAAGTTTTTTCTGAGGTTCTTTTAGCACTAGAAGAGTTTTCTGGAGTTCGTGATAATTCTTTATATTCAACATAAAATTCAAAAGCACCAGATTTCCTAATGATAATGTCCGTGTTTAAACTTCTCGAAAATTCGGTTGGAAAACTATTGTAATGATAATTAAAAAGGATGGAAAGACGGGTAGAGAAATCAATCACCATTAAATCACAAATCAATATTTTTGATAATATAAACATACATACTTTAGAGAATAAAATTTGTTCCGATCGAATTCGTTACTACAAAATAAAAAAGTAATCCATCGTCATCATCCAAATTAAAGAAATAACAGATCAATCAATTTGAAACAATAATTCAAATAGATAAATCTCTTTTATATTTATGTAAAAAAAAGGCATTATATTATTACTCGTCTACAGGATAATTTGTATATAAGGTTCCATTATTTGATACAAGTGTTCCAGCTCGAACATTAAATCGAAGAATATATGGTTTAACAGGCGGTGGAAGTCGAATATATTTACCATCCTTACTCAAAGATCCATCACTTGAGAGTTCTAGTTTATACACACTTAGCAAAGATTGGTCGAACTTTTGAAACATTTTTTCTTTTTTTTTTTTCAATATTATTTTTTTAAAACATTATTTTTTTAAATTAAACTTTTATGGAAATTTTTATCTTGACGTACGTGTATTTGATGATAAGGATTGGATTTTTTTTACATGACGTAAAATTCTTTAAAAGGTTAATTGTAACATATGTTTTATATATTTTAACAATTATTTTTATTTGTTAAAAATTATTATTTTTTTTTTTATTAAAAAAAAAAAATAATAATTTCAAAATTCAAACAACAACAATTACTAAAATTTTAATGTATGAATGTCTTCGCAAGCGCTAGTTTTAGGATAGGATTAATAAAAATCATACTAAAATTAATTGCACAAATGTAGATTAATCCTATCCTGAAACTAATGCTTGCGTAGACACCCTATACTATATAAAATAACAAATAATAATCATAAATAATAATATCAACAATAATAGTATTAACATAAAGCAATATTAATAATATTAATATTTAATAAAAATTATAAATTTTCTAAACGTCTATATGCAATTTCTGCTATATTTTCTTTCGCATCAGCTTTTTTACTATATGGTCTATTACCTTGAAATTTCATATCCTTAACTTCAACAATTCCAATAAATCCACCAGCGACGTTTTGAAAATAAAAAATTGGTGGATTCCAATGTTTAGCTTGACTTTTTTCGTATAATAAGCTAATATATTTCTTAGTTGTTGTTGCATTAATGATTGGTGAATAATTACTTAATTGTTGCGAAGAAGGATCAGAAAACATTTGAGGATAATAAACATCTGAACCAAATGTTAAAAATGATCTATTATTCATGGAGGAGGAGTCGTTATGTGATTTCACTACATATGGAACTAATTCGTTATTGTTTAGTAAATTGTCACTATTACCAAGTGGAGATGATACTAAACTAGAAATATTATTTTCCATAAAAGACTCACCAATATTATGATTATTATCGAATAAATTATTCGAAGGTAAAGTGTCCATGTTCCCTTGATTGAGAGATGATTCATCGCTTATAAAAGATGCCGAAGACGGCATCGATGTAAATGTAGACGTTGTTGGAGTTGTTGGAGAATATTTTTGCATTTGCATTTTTTCGTGCTCGCAAAATTCTTGATAAATTCTAATAAATACTTTGATTGCTGTAAGATCTTTTGCTTTGTCCTCTTTAAGTGACCCTTCTTCAATTTTAAAAGGTCTTTTACCAATATAACAATCAAAATAACACAACCCATTATTATCGACCCTAAACTCATACTGAGGTTCAGGTAATTGGTGTAATTGACAGAATTCTAATAACATTGCTCTTGAATTTTTATCAGGAAATTCCATAAGCTGTTTACGGTACCATCCCTCCGATTTCGTTATAGAATCAAAGTTTTGACTTTGAGGACCTTTTTCCGATTGTAACATATTAAAAAAATCTGGACTTAAATGATTACTGTTACTATTAATATTGCTGCTGTTAATATTGTTATTGATGTTGCTATGAAGTTTATTATTTAAGCCTAACATCTTATTATTATTGCCGTTATTAACATTAACAAGATTAAAATTATTAGTATTATTAAGATTATTATTGATATCGGTTAATATGCGACTTAAAGCTGCTTTTGCCACATCTTCTTTTGCTTGTTGTTTTCTTACAGTTGGACTAGTAGTTCTAAATACATTACCAAATATTTCCAACTTGCAAAAAAACTTGCCCGTCACCGGATCCAACGTATAATCATATTTTGGTGTTTTAGGAAACTTTAATTTTTGATGTAGTTCATTTAACACTGAAACAGGACTTGAATTATTTGTAATTATTTGCAAATCATCTTTTTTAATTTTTTTAATAAAATCAATATAGATTGGTGGTAACGAGGAAGAATCTGTTTCTTCTTGGTGTTGATGAGTTAAATAATTATGAGAGGCAAAACTGCTATTATGATCATCTTCAAACTCTTTTTTAATTTTAACGTCTGACATCGGTTCATCTTTAATTGAGGGAGCTTGTATTACTTCAGCACCCAAGTTTTGTAATAGAATATCAATCTTGGATTTACCTCTTAAATCTGTAGAACTACCGTTATTAATATTATTGTTGCTGCCACTATAAATATCTGACGTATAACCACTACTTAGGTACGAGTTATAACTGGGAGGACTATTTGTTTTTGAACGATTAATTAACGAAGGTGGTGAAATTGGCTGTTGTTGATATATTGGGTTGGCGGTAGTTGTTGTAGGGAAAAGATGAGAAGAGCTATAATAACTTTGATTAGGATTTGTTATAGATAATTTTCTGTCTTTATTATTATAAAAATTAGTCGCCATTGTTGATTTTTATAATGAAGAAAGAGCCCGTCTCTCACTATTTTTTTTTTTTACTTTTTAAAGATATTTTTTATTTTTTTTATATTCCGAGTTATTTTTTTTTTTTAAATAATTTGTAATTGTTACACACACAAAAAGAAATAGCCATATTCAACAATTGATTAATAATAATAATTGGTCATAACTTTATATAGTAATAGAGCCTCCTCTCTAGAAAAGTTATCAACAAAGTGTGCACCAAATCACATGTTACCCCTACCAAGGGCTCTCTACATGATTGGTTCTATATACAACCTGCTATTTCTATATTGTTACACAAAATCATATTGGCCGAAATTTTTCAATAAATAATGATTTTTGTTTCCAAAGTGACAGAACAAGTGAGAGATTGAGTGAGAGTGCGAGAGTGAGGAAAGTGATCAATCGAGTAAAGAAAAAAGGAAAAAGAGAAAGAATGAATAAGAGAGAGAAAAGAAAGAGAAAGATAAATATCCAATCATCTGTGAGATTCTAATTAATTATTTTCGGATATGGAAATTATAAAATGCTCTCAAAATACAGTTAAAATTTTGAAATATTACGTGATCCACACATTGGATTTTAAAAAACCCACCACCATTCAATTCAGCTTTAAAAAGGGAGTTTATTAATCTAAAAAAAAAATGTTGTCTCAAATTTTCTTTTCATAGATTTTTTAAATTTGAAAGTTATGCTCAGAAATACAACAATAATTTTCGTGTTACAATATTTTGAATCTCACGACCAAATTTGGTAATGATTTTCGTTTAATGTAATGTGTTCGTTAAACTTTTTCGTTGTAAATAACTTTTATTTATTAAATTTATTAATAAAAAAATAAATAAATAAATCAAATAAATCAAATGTATGTTGTAAAAAATATTCTATTGAAAAAAAAGTTGTTACTCGAAATTTACTTAGTCACAATTTCTTTCAAAATGCTAAGGCTCAGCCAATTTTCAGTTTAAGAAAAAACCAGCCGATAAGTTTTGAAGCTTGAGTCATGAACAATAAAACTTATTGGTTAAATTTTTTAAAATGAGATAATTTTTTTTGTTTGTGTTTTGAAGTTGACCAATTGTTATTAATGACTATAGATGATCTGCACCGTATATTTTTTTTATTCCACAAATAAATTCTGAAAATTAAGATACGATATAAAAAAAAGCACGATTCTCTGCAAAATCAGTTTTAGCCCCCCTGTCTCGAAAAGATACAAGGCTGTTCCCAATTGGTGTAAGCTGGCTACCAGGATAATGAGCTTTGGGGAAGGTGGAATGCAAAAGGCATTGGAATGTAAAGTTCATTCATATCTTGGAAGTGAAAAAAATGCAAGATGAATTTTTATCCCTTGGCTGATTTGCACAATGAATATTAACTGTTGCAAAAGAATTCATAACCCTATTAACAGTCTAAGCTCTATATACTGTCACCAATTATTGTTTGGGAGAGCGTGTTAATTGATGATAACAATATAAATTTATGATTATGTGGATCAGAATGAATTGGCTATTACTAACGAATTAGTTTTATTGGAGAATAGTTTTGGTTTAGTGATTTAAGAAAACGTTTTATTTAGTCGAAACTAATTTATTAACTTATTTCTAAGTTAATTTTTATTATAAAATTTTATTACAAAGTTAAAAGTTATTTTACAAACAAGTCGAATTTGAGCTTCTTATATACAATTAAATTAATCAGTAACTTTATTACGAATAAAAATAGTAAAAATGTAAATAAAGATGAATAAAAATAAAATAAGAAATGAAAATAAGGGATAAATAAATGTAGATATAAAAATAAAGTAAAAATAAAGTAAAAATAGAAATAAAAGATTTGATTCAGAATTAGGGTATTTCGACCAACAAATCAGCGTTAAATCCTAATTCTGGTAACAATACCAAATCTCTCTATTGGTATAATGAATTTCCCTTTTATCTCCCTTTTGTCCCCAATTCAATTTTATATAATCAATTTCTCTCTATATAATGAACAAAGGCAGAAAAATTACATATAGGGGACAGGGGGTTTGGTATAGAGAGCTTAGACTGTATATGCATTCTGACCATGTTGGTTGACCCACTAAGGATTTGGGATAATAATTAAAACGGGATCACCTTCTTCAACATCAGAGAGTTGTTTATATAATTGTGAATTTCACTTTTAGATGCTTTTGAAAAAATAGTTCCGAGGATTTAAAAAAAATAAATAATGCTTAGATTCTATTAAGAAATTAAAAAGAAACAATTCTTGCCATTTATTTTTTCTATGCAGTTTTGTTGATTAAAATTTATTCTATTTTTCAAAAGGTCTTCTTATCCTTATATTTGGCACTTTATAGTTTAACACAATTGAAGCAAATCTACATAGTCTTGTAGTAACAAGAAATTTATTCATAGTAAAGAAAAAACATTATCTATCATAACAAGCCCAACCGCGTTGTTGAATGTTGATGAAGAACATATTTGCTGAAGAACAAATATACATTGCAATGAGCCGATAAAAAACTTGCATATCCTCAGTTTTGACTCCCACTAATTACACTGTCAGTGGAAGAGACGGTCTTAATGAAGCACATAGATAAAAAAAATGGATGATATGTTAATTTTTTTTTAACGAAAGAATATTATGAATTTGATCAATTAACATTCCTTCATTTTATATATTCATTTTTATTACTCGAATTTAGAAGACATTTCTTAAACTAAAGCTTAATTCTATTTTAAAAAATTTATTTTTATAAATTAATTAAAATGTTGAAACATTTAACGGTGGCTTTAATTATTTAAACATAAGTTTATCTATTATTATATGAATCAAAGGGACGGAAGGGATGTAATTCATACTCATATTAAGCTTTTTTTTATTGGTCCGACATCTTTTCTTTCTTTTATTATGAATAGAACTTTCGTCCGTTAAAAAAAATTTTGGCAGCGCTTAACTTAACTTGACGTTGATGTTAACGTTAACTACTCTATATACACAACGCAATCATTTTCGTAATACTTGAAATTTCCTTTTTTTCGAAAAATTCCTTTTTTAAACAAATTCCATATGAAAAAAAAAGGCTGAAAATCTCTTTTTATAAATACGTCGCACTAAATTAAATTCACCATAATCATATTCTTTTGTTAAAACGGTCAGGATTTTTTCCAAATTTGGAAATCAATTCCAGAAATTTTTTGTTGATCAATTCATATGTTACAAATGAGTTTAGAAAACACTCACCCATTATGTTATGTCATGTTTTTTTTATATAGAACTCTAAGAACAACTGTTAAATAATATTCTTTGGATATATAGTTTTATAATCCCCACTAATCCAAACACTTTACAAAGTAGTTTTTCAGAAATAAAACTTGAAATTGCAATTATTTTTTTTTTAATACTCATTTAGCTCAGTGTGAAACTAAGGAGAAACAGAAATGACATTTTGCATCAGGAGAAAAATCAACTGAAAGGGCAAAATTTTTGGCCAAGTATTTTCCTGAATTATTTTCATTAATTATTTAGAAATTATTCTATTTGAAAAACATAATAATCAACTTGTTGCTATATAATAATTATTTTATCAAGATAGATAGATAATTCAAGGTCATCATCTATCATAGAAGAAAATGAACAAAAAGGCCTAAGATAACTACTGATAACAATGCAATTGAAGCTCCCATTTATGAAACTTTGAAAGATTATATTCATCCAATAATTAGACATAAGAAAATTCATATATTCATCCATTAATTCCATTTATTATGAACATAAGAAATTTCAAATTTATTATATGTATCCATTAATTATAGATGTAGAAAAATCCAATTTTATTTTATTTTCTCAATATTTTATATATATAATATATTATGCTCCAAACATCTTCCATCATTGTTGATTCCTTACATTCAAGAACAATTGGAGAATGATGATTTTGAAAAGATTTTTTTTGATGATAAAAAAGAATGTTGGTTTAATAAGTTCGTTATAGATATTGATGCAGAGGTTGAGCAATATCTGGATCATTTCCAAAATTGTGTAAGTGTTTAATCTTCAAAAAATTTAATTCAATACTAAAACTAATTATATGTATATTATTCATTATAGAGAATATTAGACGCATTGCATCAGTCCCTTAATGAAAACTCCATTTATAACAATACAAATATCAATCCCGATATCAGATATGCACATCAATTCATCAATTACATGTAACATTAAAAGCCTTTTAATCTTATAGAATCATTTAAAGGATGAAACCTTTGTTACTAATATGAACAATTTATATTACTATTTTTGTAACCAGGTACAACCTTTATATAGATGATATTTTAAGTAGAACCATGACTGAGAATGAATATGACATTTATGTTTGGACACCACTTATATGTTTTGCATTTTTAGGAAAAAATGACATATGTATTCCTAGGTACATTATAATCTTATTTTATAGTGTATGAAATTTAACTTATAACCAGTACAAATTTAGAAATTACAAGCAGAAATTTTGATTTGATTAGATAATTTCCACAAATGTTACAATTTTGGGAATTTTGTTCAACATAATTTAGTGGTGAAGTTTTATCAAAATCATATGAAAGTCTTAAAAAACTTGCCCAGTTACAAACTAGATCTGGACTATACATGAAGTCGAAACTATTTCAATCATTTGCAGATCTGGTCAAAATAGGGTCGAAACTGATTTTTACTATGTAGTTACCTCAAGTTGAAACATTTCAACTTTGGGGTTTTAATTTTGACTTCATGTATAATCTGGACCAAGACTTGATTCCAAAGCATTTATTTTATCGACTGAAGTAGAAGTTTTGGTCCAAGAAAATGCAAAAAACAATATTTATAGTAAACAGACAAATGACTTGTCAAAATTGGAACACTGCACCAAAATCTTACTGTCAAGTGCTTTTCTGGCTTTACTTCCTGCGGCTACTCATTCATATATGCTTATTGGCCATTGTTTCATTGGCTAATGCTTTCCTTTAGTGACAAGTGCTCTTGGATCTCATTCTCCCTTTTGCACATGCTCATAAAGGCAGAATTGAATAATGCAGATTTTTTTGAGAAGCTATATTTCATCTTTTATCTTTCTATCCTATTCATTTCAGGAAAAAATCTCTCCAAATATATCAAACACAATTCCTCCATAATCAACTCAAATCCTCAAGATAATCAAACAAATGAAAATTTCAACCTTGCAGGCTTTAAAGATGCAGAGGTAACAATGTACTTTTTAGAATAAATGTCAAATTTATATCCAACTAACTCTAATTAGCAATTAAAGGTCAATAATGATCCTATAATCAATCTCATCTTCCAAGGTTGGCAAAATTGACTGCTGATGGAGTTTGGACTGGTCTGTTGCCATTAATAAAATACTAAATATGGCCAATGGACCACCAATGGACTACACAGTTGCCAACCCTGATATGTTCTGGCCACCTTCTTGCTACTTTGCCTCATCCATTGTCATACAACAAATATCCAGGAAGCTTTGATGATATAGTAAATAATGGTGACCATCAATTTAAAAATCTTGCCCATCCATCCCCAACAAAATGGCAAAATGGTTTTTCAGATTATATATGCGATGACAAGAAAATAAAACTCAACTTGAACAAGAACTCACTCAGCAAAAACAAATTTATGGGGATTTAACCCTGGAAAGCAAAAACAAAGCCAAAAGATTAAGAAATAGGATGATTTTATTTCCCTCTGCTATTTCAAAAGGCCAGAATTTCTAATAGATAAGGATAGATACTTGGTGATCAAATCGCATCTAATATGTAATTTGTTTATGTTCATATTTTTATTGGTTATTGCAATACAGTAAATAAAAAATAATTTTTTCATAGGCAACTTCCTACATTACCAGTGTTGTACATGGGACATGTCCGCCTAATATTGAGCGGACATGGACATGTCCTGGACAATGTCCAATGGACAC